ATATATATATATATATATATATATATATATATATATCTATATACACATATACATATAAAAAACATATATATATATATATATATATATAGAAATATCCATATACATACAAACATACACACACGTCACCCTTCCTACCAAATTGGCCAGTTGTTGGAGGGAGTGTTCCAGAGTTTCCTGCTGTTCCGCCTGTATGTTCTGGAGATTCTTAGCTAATGAAGATGATCGTCGCATAGCCCCCACTGAACCTTTGCGTGATTGTGAACCATCTTCGTGTACTTTGAGACTCGAACGGGCTCTCTGGGAGTGGTAAGGCGTAGTTACTTGGGAGTTCAGTATTGGGTGGATAAACAAGTATTCTGTACGTACCTACATACACACATAAATGAAACAGAGTGTTTTAATATGTCTTTTAGTTCGTAGCTGCATTCTCACATGCACGAATGTTCACAAAGAAACATACATACACGCTTGCATGTCCATATGTACGGATGTCCACAAACAAACATACTTATACGCGTACAAGCGCATAAGTACGAATGTCCACAAACAAACATACATACACATGTACATGTCGGTAAGTACGAATGTCCACAAACAAACATAATTATACGCGTGCATGCGCATAGGTACGAATGTAAAGAAACAAACATACATACACGTGTACATGCGCATAAGTACGAATGTCCACAAACAAACATACATACACGCGTGCATGCGCATAAGTACGAAGGTCCACAAACAAACATACTTATACACGTACATGCACATAAGTACGAATGTCCACAAACAAACATACATATAAGTGTACATGCGCATTAGTACGAATGTCCACAAACAAAGATACTTATACGCGTACATGTGCATAAATGCGTTCTGATACATATTCATAGTCTTGTCCCTTATCATAGATACACTAGATCAGTGCGTCCGAGGGCCAAGGAGCGCGGTAGGAAACTGTGCTATCGAAAACCCTAAAACCTAAAACCCTAAAAGCCATGTGTCATAATACCGTTAAACTGATTGTTCAACAGATCAAAGCCTGGAGGACAGAGTGGGTTGAGCCAAGGATGTAATATACATAAACCACTGTGTGCGTGCATGTCACATGCTGAGTCAGATTGGTAGTGAGCTATCGCGAGACTTATTAAAGTCCTTCATTGAGGTAAAGTCCATACATAGGCCCTAAACTGAAGGTTCGGGTGCATCGCCACTTGGTTATAGAGGTCAACCCTCTCACAAACTAGTACGTGCTTTCACCAGAGTCGGAGAGACGTTGAGTACCTACAATTATGGCTAGTATAAAAACGACTCCATCCTAACATATGCAGCAGAATGGATTTACACATGAAACAACAATCCGTACACACGCATAGGGATAGTATAGGTTCCGACATAAAACGTTAACGCATATTCCTCGCATCTACAAATGATATAGAATAAACCCTCCCTATTTATAGGATTGTACACATATATATACCTATACATAAACTTTAAGATCTTTCGCAACTACAAATGATAGCTCATGGACACTTGACTTACATCCAGAATACTGTTCCGCCTGCCGCCCTCGCTTGTGCCCATTGTGTCACTCGCGCTCTTCTCTGTGCCTGACGTCCGCCTGACCTTCTCACTCATTGACCTGTGAGATGAAAGGATGTCAGCGACAGATGAGAAGACCCGAGGACATGTGAAGTTGCTAGGGTTTTAGGGTTCTTGATTTGAAGTTGCCTTATGAGGTCATCAGTGGGTGGTCATGAGACGTCCTGTGGACGAGCGATGCACACACACGTGACTGTGCGCATGTGTATTCTACCTTGAAACGGTACACATAGAGCTGTACTCGTGTATGTGTATGGGTGTATCCATTCATGCATTAGCAGTCGTACGCCTATATGCAGGAGGACCCTGAACCACAAACCCTGAAACCCTACCTGCAGGAGGACTGCACCCTCCACCAACCGTCCCTCTCCCCGTCATTTTGATCCATAATTCAAATACAATCCTTGCTCACCCGATAATACACAACACGTTCAACAAAATACAACGCATATATATAGATATATATATATATCTATATACATATCTATATTTAATAAC